TGCTGAATATTTCTAATCACTGAGCAATGCCAGGAGAATCTGAAGATTATTGTACTCAGCTGCCCAGTGACCTTTCAAACATACTCACTTTAATACAAAACAGAGTAGCAAAACATACCCAGCACTGAACCTGCAAAAAGGCATAGACGGAGTTCAGGGAGTGTCTGGATGATGCTCTTAGTCACACGGTTTAGTTTCAGGTAGTCCTGCGAAGAGCAGGGAGTTGGACTCAAAGACCCTTATGGGTCCCTTCCAACTTGAGATATTCTATGATTCTATGATGTTTTTAAGCAATTCTAGGCACCAACTATGCACACCTTTAAAAAAATTTTGAGAAATAATCATTAGCGAAATCTATCTTCCCCTTTCCCTCTGCCACATTCACTTGCATTATGCATGGTTGCTTGCATTATGCATGGATTAATAAAATATGACAGATGTCTGCTTACTTCTGGCTTGATCACAAACAGCTTGATCCAGCAAAGTGCACACACTTAGTTTCAAGCACATTTTCAAGTCCCAGTGGACTTTAATGGGATTTGGGCCCTGTCCTGTGACCCTCCAGCCCCAGCCACCACCTCCTGGACACTTTTGGTCCGATTACCCAGCTGCCATCTGCATTCACACAGCAAGCAGATTGGCAAGACATTTAAATAAACCTTCTTTACAGAAATGTTTTCAGAAGCTGCAGCTGAGTGGAGCCCGCTCTAAGCACCAATCACGGCCTCCGGAAAGCAGAGCAATGCGACCTTCAGGCATCTCTGCCCTTCTAAGGCTTTTAAGTAGTCATTTTTCCCTGTAACCCCAGATTTACCAGAAAATTTAACCAACTGATTGGAGACAGCGAGCTACTGGTGGATGCTTGGCACCAGGACAACAACTTCTCCTGCGTGAAGCCAGCCACCCTATACTTGTTTTAGAGCACAGTGCCCACAGAGAGAGTTTGGAGATTGTTTCGTATGGCCCACAACACTGGCCAACAGAAGTTGAGCCGAGGGCACATCTCACGTCAAGAGTGACTGCTGTCATTCAGTGCCTGTTTCAGTCACTGACCTGTCAATTTGTAGCAGACACAAGCCTGTCTCGCAGTCTACTATCGTCCTCCATAAGGAGGCCAAGAAGTGGAAGGGCACAGAGCTCGGATGTCCCTGTCGAGCCCAGAACCACCATAGCTGCCAAAGCAAGGTTGCTCTCCACTGGAACAAGGCAATCAGGGAAAATCCAAGAATTTCAATCAAAATTAGAGCTATTTCTCACAGTGACGGACAACAGAAAAGACTGATCATTAAAAAACAGCTCTTTTGACAGCTTTTGAGGACTGGCTTCTCTTCTGGGCAGTGGATGGGTAAACTCCTGCCAGTATTTTGCTCAGTCTCCTGCAATGAATGACTCTGATGCTCAGTTGTAGTTTTCTGGTTACAGCACCAACATTTCTCCTGGCTAGAGTATTGGAAAATGTGGATAAACTGATTTATCACAGCCAGCCAGAAGTGACTGAGGCTTCACATAACATCCTTGAAGGAGCAGAGAGTGCAGGCTTTCACAAAGCTCTTGGGCTGGTTGTTGCTCCCGTCTGCTCTAATTTGAGTACTCTCCGCAAGGTAGCACAGAGAGCAGCCCCCCGCTGGCTGGTGTTTCTGTCAGTTCTGCAGCAGCTCAGGTGTCCCCCTGAGGAACTGACAGGTTCTTCAGGGTTTCCCAGAAGAAGTGACAACTGGAACCAGTCAAACCAGCTGCTCCTCCCATTGTGCTACTGGCTACAAGCCCTACGGAAAGAGCAGAGGCAAAAGCTTGTCCCAGCAGTAGGACCATAGCCAGGCCACTCCAGGAGGCCCACACTGAGAAATGGAAGTGGAGCTTCTGAAGGGCACTTTTTCTTCCTCCCCACCTTTCTGATGCCTCAAGGCCAGACCCTCTTGGCTAGGACTCCACTCCCTTTTAGCAGTGTAGGAGTCAGTAACATGCAGACACATGAGACCTCCTACATTCTTATGCATGCAGCTAGCCCCCCCGCAATTGTCCCAGTCCTTTTGCAACATCACCTGCCAACAGGGAGAAGCCAGCAGGAAGGTAGCTAATGGGCAAAAGCAAAACAAATCTTTCTTATCCCCCATAGCAGTGGGTGCAGAACTGAATCCCCCATTAAGACATGGGCTCACAGCACTGACTTGTCTCCTCTTGATGTCAGTAGGGAAGATGACTACATTGCTAGTTTAAAGCAAATCCCCTCTTACTCTAATGTTTGTCAGATTCACCAAGTCTTGAACCCATGGGGTTGGGTGCTCTAAAACACTCATGTGAAGGACTTTCAAGAACTCCCCAACAGAAAAAGCACTGCAGTCCCCTTGAAATTCGCAGGGGGTAGTGAAGAACTGGTATCTAAACCCACTCACTACTTTGAAATCCCACATAGACACCTACGCATTTTGCAAGTCTGTCCCAGCATATGTGCAAAGGCAAAAGGGGACAGTAGCAGAGGGAGAAAATAGAGCCTTTGATGTTCTCCAATATACAAAGCACGTATCACCTCTCTGGGCTGGCAACCTGCTTCATTAGTTGAGCTATAGTATGTGGAAAGGAGCAAATACTAGACTGAGATTCAAAACCTCCTGGAGAGTAGGATTCTGCCTCCCTGGAAGACAGATGGCCCAGGCAGAGGATACAACGTTCTCTCAGCCCTACCCAGGAAATTGCTTTCCAGTCCAGTAAAAAGCCAAGCCTCCTCTCCCCACAAAAAACCCCAACACACACACGTTTTCCTCATAATGCAGGAAGAACAAGATGGATACTTTTCAAAATGTTTTTTTAATTAAAACCAAAAAAAGGAGCACACACCAGAGCTTGACACGGGCTACTGAAACTGCTGGTCATCAGGACGCAGAACTGGCATGAGGAAGGCTGTGTTTCTGCATAACTCAGGAGCACCGGCACAGACATCGGGACTCCTGGGGAAGTACTCTGCCTGCCAGGCTACTGCTGCTTTGTGCTGAGCAGGTCTCTCTCATGTGGTGATGGGAAACTTCAGCCTGAAGCCCAGAGTCTTTTTTCCAAACAGACAGACAGAAGTCCTGGAGACTGGGGAAAAGATCATTTCGACGAATCTGCGTTTTCCAAGCACTTCTGGAGAGGATTCCCAGTCGGTTCTCCTGCCTCCCCTGGCAGGTTGCACAGGTTTAAATGGAGACTCATCTTTGGCAATAGCCACACTGGTAGGACCCAGTTCTGCTTCCACTGAAGTCAATACATGTCCTTCCCTGGACCATAACCACAGCTGCACCGGGGCTCACGATCACTAGCCAATTGTGCTGTAAAGTTAAATCCTCATCCACTCCTTCTAGCCAGCAACTTCTGAGAGCTTCTTCAGGCTCACGTAAGTGTGTACCAGTAAATTCAGGTAAATGTGAACATCTTGGCTACAGCAATGGGACAAAGTTTTCAAATATGCCCAAGAGATGGAGGAGCCAAAGTTTCAGTTTAAGACATGACTTGGGCACTAGATCAGGTATTGAAACCTCCCTGCCGTCTAATAAAGCAGTTTCCAAAGCTGCTGGTGTGTTGCTCCATCAGCCTGGTTTCTTTACCAGAAAGGCTGGGCTAAAAAAGTGACACGTTTTTCATACACAATTTTTATCTGTTAGAATTTACTAGATATGCACCTCATTTGTCTGTCAAATATTTAAAAAATACTTCGACCTGCTCTAATAATCACATTTTAAAACATGCATCAAGTTTGGATCAGAACAGCTTCTCTGGGATAATCAGTACGCCCAAATTGCTGATTTAAGGCCTAAATATCAGTCACTGGCCAGCCAGCCACAAAAAGTCACTCTATCCTTGAACTCTTGGAATTATTTTTGGCTCAGACTAACCCTTGTTACCATACATCTTATCCTACACACAAAAGGAAAGCGTATGTGTTTTTCAAGGCTACTGTTGCACCACAAGTTTACATACAAACACAACTTCTGCAAACATGAGACCAAAGGAAGATCTCATATGTCCCAGGGTAAGTCAGAAAGTCCACAGGAGTCAAGGGAATGGTAACTGCCATAAAGGATCAGGCCTAATACATGCATTACAGAAGCAAGGTAGCTCCTTTGCTCGAGGTCTGGCTGATTCACTTTGCACATACCACTGCTTTAGCATTACATCCTTATCTAATGGTAAACCTGTTTCAACAACATGCAATACATATTAATGCAATATGCACTGCAACACACAATACGCATCCAAAGAAATATGCCAATGCAAAAATCTGACTTCTCACACATAGCAGGGCTAACAAGGAAGAGCCTTTTACAAAAGACAATCAAGAAATCACCTGAAACCATGAGACCCGAGGGGCCTCAAGCAATCTGCAATACTGAGACCTAATAACAGATGCTAATTCATGAAAGAAACACAAACAGTGGGACTGAGGTAATGGCAGAGATTTCATTAGTGCAATTAACATTTATAATGGTATGTTCTTTAATAGAATTTAAATAAGGCTTTGAATAATTACACACACTAAAACTAACATTCCATAACCTTATTCTGCATGGAAAAGCAGCAGAAACAACCCTCTGGACTGTACATGGTCCAATTATGAATAATTACATTCAAAAAGTAGATCAAAACAGAAACAACTCTTT